CCATCGGTGATGGGAGCCTGCTTTCCAGGGAAAGGGACCAAGAGGTGGTCAGTGCTCCTCATAGTGTGACTGGTCGCGGTCGTTCTGGTCATTCTGGTTGTTCTGCCGTTATGGTCACTGGGCTTTTATTATATAGGATTATGAAGTTATTTTTAGAAAGCAACAAATAAAAATGGCAAAACTCTTCTATTTGTGTGTATTTGTATAAAATTTTATTTTAAAAAACCTGCATGGAGAGATATACATGCAGGTTATCTGAGGAGGGTGGGATGAGGATATTATGTATCTCAATTCATTTTTTTTTAGCCTTATTACAATAAGTACATTTCACTCCTATGATTAAGAAAAATATTTAATGAAGCAACAGCCCCTTAAAACTAAAAGAAATATTAGCAATAGGTACCAGTGAATTTTGAAGGAGAACCCCTAAGGCAGTCAAAGCTCAAATTTTTTAGGCTTTGTAGATTAAATTCGGTAATAAAATTACTCCCAGACACACACAGGCACCAGTACAGACTGTGCAAAGATGGTTTCTATTTGTTCCTTGGTGCTCTGCAGCCCACGTATTAGTTGGAATGCACATAAAATGCAAGGTTGAATAGAAAGGTATGGAAACGAGGGGCAGACTTAGGCCAGAGAGGTGTTAAAAGTCTCTGTGATGAGTTTATATGGAAAAATGTTCTCCCCTCCTTCCTTGTCTCCTGAAACTCCACCAGCCGCTGGAGTTCCGTGCTCACCACGTGCTGCTGTGTGCTGAGACCCCAAAGCTCACATCAGGAGCCCACGATAACCTCTGCTGCATTATGTAGATATTTTTCCTGCTTACCATCGGCACCGTTGGCCTTTTATGGATTAAATCTCAGCACATTTTTTTATGATGTCAGATCTCAAGTGTTTCTAGCGTGGCAGCAGTGAAATGGAGCTGTCAGAATCGGATAAAAATGATATGATGGCCCCTGAATCTCCACCTATTTCTTCAAATAGCTTCATGCTCCTACTGAATATGGCGGGTGATAAAATAGGGTCCTGTGTGTCTCTAGAAATGATAACCCTTTTAGAGGATGAATAGTCTTTTATGTCCATTGTATGGGTTTGCTGCGAGCCTGAAATGCCAGTGCCTCCTGATGGATCAGGTCTTCCTAGAGCTGTTGCCCCCTCCATAGCATTGCTGTTAATATGGTTATGAGTGGAAAAAAAAGCTGCTTTGATCTTAAAAGAACAATTAAAAAAAATATTTACCCTGTGTGATTGGTTAACTGTGTGGGGGAAAAACTATCTTCTCAGCTTACACCATACAAAAGTCAGTTCCAGATGGATTAAAGAATTATGTACCCAAAGAAACTATAAACAGCTGGAAGAAAAAAATATGTTTGAATATGGGTAAGGACAGCTTTCTTGAGTAGAAACCATAACGAAAGAAACCATAAAAGGAAATTCTGGGGCTATATATAGATCAGATACTTTTATATTCCCCCTAAATCATAAATCAAAAATCTCATGCTTACAAAATCTGTACATTTTTGCATCATATATAACAATCTGTGTCCTGTAAAGAGATTTATAAAGATGTGAACAGATCTTCAGCCTCATTAGTAATAAAAAATGCAAATTGAAATAAGCAAATATTATTTCTACCCATCGTAATATCAAATTAAGACAAGAAAACGATCACTATCTTATGTCCAAAATATAGGGACTACTTTTAGCCAATTGGTGGGGCTACCTTTTTGAGGGTATTTCCAAGTGTGTATCAGGAATCCCTATGATCCATCAGTCTGCTGACATAAATAACCTTTATCAGAAACGAGACGTCTACTGTCTTCTTTCTTGAAGTCTCTCTACTGGGCAGCGTGGCTACTTTTCTTGGTTTTCTTCATTCTTCACCAGCCACTCATTCTCCATTTCTCTTGCTGGTCCTTGTTCATCTGTTAGCCTGTGTGGTAGTGGTTGCAAGGCCCAGTCCTGAGCCTTGTACTCCCCAGGTGATTCATTAATTCAGTGACCTTCAACATCATCTGCTCCAGGAGCACTTTCACAGTAATGCCACCAGCCCGACCTTCCCTGTGAACTCAGACTTGCACATCAGCTGCCAACACGACATCGGCATTTCTACGTCTAATAATGGTTTTCCTGCCGCAGACTTGTTACTCCAGTGATCCTCTCCCATCTCGATCAGTGGCAGCTCTGTCCTTCCTGTTGGTTAGCTGCTTGGAGTTACTCTTGGTTTCTTTCTTTTCTTTCATGTCCAATCAATAGCAAGTCTAATTATTTATACCTTACAAAGACATCCAGTATCTCATCAATTCATATCCTTCCCACACTACCACCACAGTTTCTCACCGGAGCTGTTACAGTTGCCTCTTAACTGGTCTTCCTGTGTTTCTATGGTCTGTTCTCACAGTCTCCAGAGTGCTGACTTTAACCACAGATCAGATCAGGCCACTCCTCCCTACTGGGGGTAAAGTGCAAGGTTCTTTTTTTTTTTTTTTTAATATATTTTATTGATTTTTTACAGAGAGGAAGGGAGAGAGATAGAGAGTTAGAAACATCGATGAGAGAGAAACATCGATCAACTGCCTCCTGCACACCTCCTACTGGGGATGTGCCCGCAACCCAGGTACATGCCCTTGACCGGAATCGAACCTGGGACCCTTCAGTCCGCAGGCCGACGTTCTATCCACTGAGCCAAACCGGTTAGGGCAAGTGCAAGGTTCTTAGCACGGCCTACAAGGTCTGACAAGGGCTAGAGCCTGGTTTGCTCTCTGATCTCCTTCACTGAGCTCCAGCCCCAGAAGAACACACCACCCATGGCCTGGCCTTTGGGATGTTGTATGTACCTCCCGACTGCGTGGAATGTGTGGCCCTCCCTTCAACATATTCCCGACCTCTGTTTACAGGACATCCTGCCAGAGGGCCTGCTCTGACCTGTGACTAATTGTCTTACTCTTCTTTAATCTTTGCTATAAGGCTTATCATCACCTTAACGATTTCTTAGGTATTTATTTGTTAATTGCCTTTTTCTTCCCACTTGAATTTGCATTCCATGAGCTGAATACCCATCCACTAGAAAAATGCTCAGCACGCAGTAGGCACTGCGAATGTTCATGGAGTCAGTGGATGAGATGTCGTCATCCTTGTTGTCACTGAGCTCATTTTACGATAGATGCTGCCCTGGTGTAGGTACTAGAGGGTGAAACAAGTATAGGACATGGCACGTTTGGCCACAGAAGCATGGAGATACAGTAGGTGGACATTCTAGGGAGGGAAGCATAGAGGTGGATGTGTGTGGAATGAGCATAAGGATTCCTTTAGAGTAAGGAAAGTGTGGTCCAGTTAGTGGGAATGAATCCTGGGGGAAAATGGGGGTGGGAGTAGATTGGGAAGCACAATCCTGGGGAGAAATGATCCTATTAAAGGCACTGGAGGCAAAACAAAGAAGGGATCTTATTTATTTGTGGTCTACTTGGATTACTGTTCAGATTGTTGATCTTTTTAACTTGATACCCTTGTAGGACACCAGGAAATATCATGTGCAGTTTGGTTGTAGAGTAATTGTAAAGTGTTTATGGATACTACACTCAAATGTTCCCATATTTTATTCCTTTCGTAGACTGTGAATTCTTTTAGTAACTAATGTTCCCTTGTCGGTAAAGTGAATTTATTCTGTAGCTTGTGTAAACACATTCTGTGATGGGAGGCATTGGGGAGAGCATCCCGGAAGGAAGAGACGGAGCATCCTTCTAGAGTTCGTTTCATGTTGTTATGGAGCCCGTCAGTCTTTTATTTCTCCCAGCAGAGCCAGTGAGTGTTTTCTTATGTGTTAACAGCCTGTACTAGCGTTTGAAAACTATTCGAGTAGCTTTTGCCTTAAAGATATTTTAAACTATGGTAATTAAGCTGCATGTTATTAAATTTTGTCATAGATCATTTACATTTTAGAGAAAAATATGACTCCTTATAGACAAGTGAGAATTTACTTTTTTATACTCTGCAAATTTTGGATTTCACTTATGAAATAGTGGAGTCCTATTTCTTTGGTTTACTCATTAATCAAGAGGTTTTGTGGTCAGATTCTTTAAGCAGTACTGATATATTTCTGCTGATTTAGGCATATTTTCTCTGCATTTGACCAATGTCATATACTCGTTAGAGTGTGGCTTGGGCTGTCATCTGCAACTAGAACAGAGGATGCTAACCAGCTTACATGGCACTTAAGACTTTTTAAAAAATATATTTTATTGATTTTTTACAGAGAGGAAGGGAGAGGGATAGAGAGTTAGAAACATCGATGAGAGAGAAACACCGATCAGCTGCCTCCTGTATACCCCTCACTGGGGACGTGCCTGCAACCAAGGCACACGCCCCGGACCGGAATCAAACCCGGGACCCTTTAGTCCGCAGGCCGATTCTCCATCCACTGAGCCAAACTGGCCAAGGCTGCACTTACGACTTTTGATTTAGTTTTATCCCTATGTGTTCACACATAAGGCTCCAAATAATAATAAGCAGAAAGGCAAAACCATGAATAAATCTGCTAAGAGAGCCACAAAGATTCTAAGGGTTAAGCTTTCAGTACCCTTTACGTGTATTTATTACGTGTAAACTACCTCTTTGCAGTTGGCAGTGGGAGCTGGTTGGAAGTTCTCCCTGAGAAGTAGCAGTTGGCTGGGATGAGTGTGCGAACAGAGCTGGGAGATGGATGGCGGCCAGGGAGGCCAGCAAGGGGGCCGCTGCACAGGGGCCTCTGCCTGATGCAGTCAGCGGGCTCTGTGCCTTTAGAGCAGCGGTTCTCAACCTGTGGGTGGCGACCCCTTTGGGGGTCGAACGACCCTTTCACAGGGGTCGCCTAAGACCATTGGAAAACACATATATAATTACATATTGTTTTTGTGATTAATCACTATGCTTTCATTATGTTCAATTTGTAACAATGAAATTGGGGGTCACCACAACATGAGGAACTGTATTAAAGGGTCATGGCATTAGGAAGGTTGAGAACCACTGCTTTAGAGCATTGAGGGGAACGGGAAGACGACTGGTGGGTCCAGCAAAGGGGATGGATATGGGCCTAAAACCTGTAAACAGCATCCTGAGTATCTAGAGCAGTGATAGCGAACCTTTTGAGCTCGGCGTGTCAGCATTTTGAAAAACCCTAACTTAACTCTGGTGCCGTGTCACATATAGAAATTTTTTGATATTTGCAACTGTAGTAAAACAAAGACTTATATTTTTGATATTTATTTTATATATTTAAATGCCATTTAACAAAGAAAAATCAACCAAAAAAAATGAGTTCGCGTGTCACCTCTGACAAGCGTGTCATAGGTTCGCCATCACTGCCTTAGACAGTGGTTCTCAACCTTCTGGCCCTTTAAATACAGTTCCTCAAGTGATGGTCCAATATGATCCTGCGTTCTAGGGTGGACACAGTTGGTTCAGAAATTGATGTTGAAGAAGAAATAAGTGCATTAAAAGGCAGATATCATAAAACTACTGGACAAAAGGACATGAAACCCGGTGATGGAGCGAAACTCTTTCTTTGGATTTATGTACACGATGTACTAAATGAACTGGAATTCATGCAATTGGCCCGAGGTTCCAAGCAAGTTGAATATGTTGAATACTGATGACAAAGTGCAGGCAGTCTGTGGTTGGTTCTACTTTGAATCCTCGAAACTCCAAGAACCGTCTTCTGTCCAGATGCCTTTGTTTGCCTTTCACTGTCACCTGGGGAATGCGGTTTCTTTTCATGGGCCCAGGGCAGATGACGTCGTCTGGGCGCTGTCCTGTCATACACTGGCGGAGATGCCAGTTGTCTGTCTGTCTGTCTTTCTGCATAAATGGGAGACTTTTTCTGAGACCAAAATGGGCTGCGCCTGACCTGTATCTACCAATCTGAATGTCAGCATGATTGGGTCTGCCCGCCCCCTGGAGCCGGAGCCTCTTACTAAAGGAACTGGAATTCATGCAATTGGCCCAAGGGCAGATGACGTATTCAGGGCGCTGTCCTGTTATACACTGGCGGAGATGCCAGTTGTCTGTCTGTCTTTCTGCATAAATGAGAGACTTTTTCTGGGACCAAAATGGGCTGCGCCTGACCTGTTGCTACCCATCTGAATGTCGTCATGATTGGGTCTGCCCGCCCCCTGGAGCCGGAGCCTCGGCGGCATCTTCAGACAGATGCCATCAGCTCTCTCCTCCTGCGAGGTGACCTGTCGCACTCTTCTGCTTGCAGACTGGTGATGCACATCGAGAGGGACAGCAGGAAGACCTCCCCAGGCAAGGAGCGGCAGCCGAGCGGCAGCGAGTACCTGTCCAGATGCCTGGACCTCCTCATCCGCCACATGGTGCGGGAAGTGCCGCGCCTCCTGGGTAAATCGCAGTCTCCTCCCAGGCCCCTCGCTGCTCACCTTGCCGGGACTTGGGACTTGGCTTTTCGGTGTCGCCCCCTTTTTATTCTCGCTGGTGTGTTATTGCAGGCGAGTGCAGTGCCACTCTGTCTTGAATGTGTGGTTTCAAGATCTCCACGTGCCTTATCTGTCTTCCTAGTTATTTTGCATCAGTGAGGTGATGGAGGCAAGGGGCCGGCTAAAGGTTATGTTGGGGTGTCATCTATGGTAAATGGGTGGTTTTGAAAAATAAGTAAAAGAAAAGCATTTTAATTGCTCAAAATTGGACTTCGGCTCTTATCTTGGCTAGCCTTTCTCAAATTTCTGCTTAAAAAACTTACTCTCTTAGATGAGACCCACAGATTAATTTATTGTTAAAAGGACTTAGGAATGCATAACCATTAACATTTAATATTAATGGCTTTCGATATTAAAACTTAAAACTGTCTATAATTTGAAAAATTATCTCATAATGATTTGCAAAAGATGTTTATTACAGCTAATCCCTGATTTCGTTGTTATTTGCAGAAATTAAAATCTAAGGGATGCTTACATTTAGTTTAAATCCCATTCCATGCTTTTGCAGCAGATGTAGCATGAAACCAGCAATGTGTAAATGCTAAATTGATCCCACCCATTATGGTAAAATATACTTAGACTCTGAAATTCATGATATGAAGTCAGAGTAATGGAAATATCTTCATGGCTGAACGATATGCCTCTGTGCTTCTTACTGATACTTTGGGAGATTTTTTTGCCTGTTAATGACTGAAAATAGAGCATTTCAAAATTTATTTTGGATTGTAACCTTTCTTTAATCTTCAGTCTGAAGGCTTTGTGAGTCGAGTTTCTTACTACTAGACTCATTCTGTTTAGGATATGATGATACGGTTCAAATATCCACAACACAAGTTTTATTTACTATTGGGCTTATCCAATGAGAAGTTTTATGAATTGACCTGTTTTTTATTTCCATCTATTCTGTTAGAAATTGTGATCTATAATCTGTTCACTTATCATCTTTAATATTTTTTTTTCTGTTTACCAAAGTAATAGGCACTTATGCTTGAAATCTGGAAAACACACACACAAAAAAGGAAGGAAAATTATTTCTAAGACACCCCCCCGCCCCACTCTACTGTGCTATTTATAAACTCAGATTTCTAGGTGAGAGATTTAGAAGCCACAGCTTTTTGTTATAGTCTCAATATTTGTCAGTAATATCTCAGCTTCTCTCCACTCCATTTATGTGGAGGTTCATTCCCTCAGCAATCTTACTGGTTTTCCAGCCATGACGGGCGGTCCCTGAGTATCCGTGACCTTCACCTCCGCAGGTGACATTCTCACCGCCCTGGCTAATGTGTCCGGTCGTAAACACCCATCAACAGTTCAGGCGAAGCAGCTGAAGCTGTGTCTCCCCCTGATGCCCGTGGTGCTTCACCTCGTCACCTCCCAGGTATGATCTTATCCAGAGGAAAATAATATGACTGCGACTCCCTTCTTTTTTTAAAAAAAATATGTTTTTATTGATTTTTAAAAATTTTTCAGAGAGAGAGGAAGGGAGAGGGAGAGAGAGATAGAAACATCAATGATAAGAGAGAATCATTGATCAGCTGCCTCCTGCACGCCCCCTACTGGGGATCGAGCCCACACCCCCGGCATGTGCCCTGACGGGGAATGGAACCAGCAACCTCTTGGTTCATGGGTCGACTTTCAAATACTGAGCCACTCTGGCGAGGCTGTGACTCACCTTCTTTGTAAACTAGAGCTGAGAAACGCCAGCTCAGACAAAACATGTTCGTTTTTTCCCCCTTGTACATGACTTTCAGGATCTAATCTATGGAAACTCTCACCACGCAGGTATTTCGACCTCGAGTTGTAACGGAAGAGTTCCTTTTCAGTTATGGAACCATTCTTGTGAGTAACACTGAATTTTTCATGTCCCTAATAAAAATGTGGCTGTCTCTACTGTTGGTGGAATTTGGTGTCAGAATGAGATAATTTTAAAATTCTCATGGCATTTATTTGTCTCTAGGGAAGCGACCTTTTTCTATTTTTATCTGTTGACTGGAATAAAATTTGACATTTGGAGAAAAATGCATTTTCTCCTGATAATGTATGTTGTTCACAGACAGCCCCAAGTAGGGTAAGTAAGTCCATAGCAAACACTTTTATCCACTTTGGTATTACACATTCTGAGAAAATTTTAAATAATAAAACTGGTGGAAAGGGAATGCTGGGGATGCATTGTCATTATTATTTACATTGGCTTACCTTGCCCAATTATGTGCAGTCACTTTTTATGATGGCACTTCTCTCTAAGTGAAGCTTAATTTAACTTTTTCTTTAATTTTGATGAGATTGGTAGCAATGCAAAACAAATCAGTGTGCTCTCTTTCATTCCAGTTTTTGCTCATAAAAATAGTCTTTGTGTTCAGATTGTGGCCCATGAATTATATTATCTTTTGCCCTTGCCTGGCAGTTACAGTATGTATCCTCCATGAAATGGGGAGCTTTTCAGAGGGAAAGCTAAGACATTTGTCACGCAGCTCTTCCACTTTTGCTTTGATGTTTATTATGAACACTGAACTGAGATTTTAAAAATGCTACAGAGGTGTCTGTTAAGTGAAGCAAACATCTCAAGGTTATTGGTTTGTTTTGTTTTTTTTTTGGTTTGTTTGTTTCTTTTGAATAAAAAAAGGATTGTCACCCACAAGTGAGAATAGAACTTTCTACCAGTGGTTCTCAACCTTCCTAATGCCGCGACCCTTTAATACAGTTCCTCATGTTGTGGTGACCCCCAACCATAAAATTATTTTCGTTGCTACTTCATAACTGTAATTTTGCTACTGTAATGAATCGTAATGTAAATATCTGATATGCAGGATGTATTTTCAGGGGTTGCAACCCACAGGTTGAGAACCGCTGTAGGCTAGACGGTCCATCATAGGGTGAAGAATGATTTGAAGTACAGATGTGGAGTGCAGGTCACTGACTTTTAGTAAAAAGTGTGTGTAGGCAAGGCAGTGGGGTCCTTTTGTGCTCAGTTTCAAATCTTTATCACCCTGGCGCCTAGAATCCAAATTCTACAAAGTACATAATTTTTGTTATACACTCATAAGTTTGCAAATTATTAGAACATTGTTTACCACCTTCTTTAATTTGCTCTTCAATCTGCTTCTATGTACAATATGGGTATCATTGTAACATGACTATAATTCTGCATTTATAATCCCATTGCACTCCATATCAATGCGTGGAAATGGTAATTTTGCTTGTGGAGCCCACCTTGGAATATTTTGGCACAGTGTTTGTTTGGGACAGGTGTAACTGTCCCTGTGTTCATTCTCTTACTTTTTTCTCAAGGGTAATACTTTTCTCTGCCTCCTACATTCACTAAGTATACTGTAGTTTTCAAGAGAACTACCAAGTGTCTCCAACATAAAGGTCTTTATGGACTAACAGGAATTACATGGGTTTTAGGGGGGAACTCATCTGCTCCACGTAATTCAGAAACAAGGGAGGAGGCATAATGTGGAAAGGTCTCCTAACCTTCTCCCAGATGTGGGTGTACTCTGTGAGGGTGGGGGGTATTTGTAGGGGCTTCTTTATGGAGGCCCTTTTAGGAATGGAAAATAACTTACCTGGGCCCTACCTGGTTTGGCTCAGTGGATAGAGTGTCACTGGTCTGCGGACTGAAGGGTCCCTGGTTCGATTCTGGTCAAGGGCACATGCCCAGGTTGTGGGCTCAGTTCCCAGTAGGGGGCGTGCAGGAGGCAGCTGATCAGTGATTCTCTCTCATCATTGATGTTTCTATCTCTCTCTCCCTCTCCCTTCCTCTCTGAAATCAATAAAAATATATTTAAAAAAGAAAGAAAATAACTTATTTGGTTCAAAGATAACTATGATATTGGAAAATTTTTATCAGTTTTTTTCCCCTTATAATGTCACTCAAATAGAGGGAGTGTAGGCCAATAAAATGGAAAAGGTCTTTGAGCTCTCTTCAGGATATTTTCCTAGATGGAATCTGGGCCAGTCCCAGAATACTTTTGTTATTGTTCTTATCACATCTGTTATCTGGCCTTAGCTGTGTGTTGGCACTGATGAAATACTAGTAAAAGAGAGAGAAGTATTAACTCAAATTAAAGACCTGGATTTTGTTATCCACACAGTTCTGTGTACGTTATTATGAGCCATTGAGGTTGGATGTTGCTTCTATGAGTTGATTCCTAATCTATACAGAAGATGCCAAAGATATTATTCAAGGCAATAGTGACCTACTGATACCATGAGGCACAGTCTACTCCCACATCTCAGAGCCCCTTAGAAATTCACAGTGCTGGTTAGCAAACTACTGCCTCTTGAGTTTTCTGCTTTAAGAGTATTCTTTTTAATTTTGTTTAAACAAAAGTTTCCTAAACTTGTTTGAGAGGCTTTGTTTTGTTTTATTTGGGCTGCACAGCTATAAATGTCTGTAGCCCAGTCCACAGAATGACTTTGTCAAAGTATCCTGAGCACAATGCGTCTCTGTCTTGGTGTCATGTTCCATTCATGTGTAGATACTTAGCATGATGTTTGGGAAGCCTTACTGGTCTATCTGTAGATAAATACTATTTTCTGTATTTTTCAAGATTTATCTGGTTGAGTAGCTACTGTATGTACTATGGCAGGTCTATTATCTTTTCATATTTCAAAAATATGCCTTAATTTGAAGTATTCAAACTTGATCCACCTTTAGTAACTACCCAGTAGCACAACTTGCTGCCAAGAACTTTCTAGGCTTCTGCTACAGCAGCTCTGCAGGGGCTGTTGGTCTGCCTCAGGTGGGCGTGGAGACGGCAGTCAAGGTTGGTGTGATCTCCCCTCATTAAAAGGGTCCTAAAGGAGCAGGCTGGAGGGGGCTTTGGAATTGTGCTTCCCATTGGCTTCCATTTCTGTACTGGTACCAGCACATGGTTTGCCTCTTTGATCTGTGGACATTTTTATTTTTTAGGTAGAAAAATTTAGGATACTTCTTATATAGGGAGGCACGAGTATAGGAATTAACCTCCCCCTGCCCCCAAGTAAAACAAAGTTTTGGTCTTCTTATATTTAAAAGAGGCTAGTATTTGGGGAAAAAATCGGCAGGATACTTGTAAACCATTATTAAGTTTTCAAAGGCTCCAGGCAAAAGAGGGCTATACAGCTGCTAATTGTTCTTTTCACTTCTTATTGACAGAAGCAGTGTGTCATCATACTTGTTTTCCTCTTCAGTAAAACAGAGTACCTAAGGACACTGTTAGCAGTAAAGTATCTGGCGGGTGCGATGGGGAAATTCCATGGTGAATACTGTCGTTTTTTTGGGCCTCCATTGAATTGGGCTGGGAAACAGGAAGTGATGACATTGAGGAAATATGTTTGGGAACTCATGGTGTGTACTAACCTAGTGTTCACTGTGCTTCTCTTGTCCTTTTGAAGATGCTCTTGATTAATGAGCTGAGGAAGAGAACTTTGTTGTGTTGTTCTTAAGTTCTGGCCTCACTAGTTGATAAAAGCGTCATGGTTGTGTGGTGGTTATAGTTTTCTACAAAAAGGCATCACAATTCAAATTTTCAAATAAAAGAGGAGAAAGAAATGATAACATTATTTTGATAGATTTTCATGCAAGAATATAATTATGAACTCCATCATTCATGAATCTTTACGTACCCCGGCACTGAGATAGTTATTCTAAGAAAAGACATACTTCCTGCCTTCTGCAGATTCTTATTTTAAGCGAATGTTGCTTTGTTGATTGATTTTTTTACTTCAGTTGCAGTAAATAAAGCAGAGAGAGTGCAATCTTATATTTGGAAAAAACATATAATTATTCATTGCCAAGCAAATGTTCTTGTTATGAGTTTTTTCTCCTTTTTCTACAAACCTTGAATTCATATTCTCAATTTGCTACGGGAACTTATTTTCAGCTTCTTCGAAGTGTAGTACTAAATGATATTGAATAGCACCGCCTGCCCTGGAGCCATAGCTTTCCATTTTTCCCTTTAGATGGGGCCATGTTCTGCCCTGCACTCCTTCACCCAGTGAGCCTATCTGTGGGGAGGCGTTCATCCTTTTAGCTCCTCTGCTAAAACTCCCAGCTTTGAAACTTGCACCATCAGAAGGTAGCCTGCGTTACCCCTGTGCTGTGACAGAGACGTCATGTACAGGTTTCTTGGTCATTGCCCCTCATTCCTCAGAATCTTTCTTCATTGGGCCACTGTCAGTCTCTCCATGCTGCTCCTAGTACCATTCTTGGAGAATTGGATATCCCTACGGAGGGCCCTTCCAACACAGCCTCTGAGCTCCTCCGCCACCTTCTTGTCTTTCCCTCCACAGCTGCCTACACCCATGAACTTATTTGCAGCATCACACTGTCTGGCCATCGCTCCTAATTTTCAGTGCCTCTGCTCCCCCTCTCCAACAGCCCTTTCATTCCTCTGCGACTTCAGTTGGTCTTTCCACTCTTCATCCTGCCCTCTCATGGCCCAACAGCTGCCTCTGGTCTTTACTCAACTTAGGGTTCCCTAGAGTTCCAGGCCCCTTCCCTGCCCTGAATTCACTTATACCTCCCTTCCCTCCGTTTTCTCCATTGCCCTCCTCTGGCAGAGCCTAATCCTGGTTTGATTCAGTTCTCTATGTATCCACCCCTGCTTTGAGGGGCTAAATATAGCTAGAGAAGAACACCCTATGAGTAGCGGGTCTCACTTTAAACTCATGACTGCTCGTCTCAGGTGCACCCTCTCTGCAGACTGGGGGGTGCATCTAGCTCCCTTTCCTGTTTTTATGTACCTGCACACTCACCTACATGACCCTTTACAAGTTCTCTCTCCTCTTGAATCTCCAGTGCCTCCTACTCTGTCCTCACTCTCACCTGGGTCATTCCCATCACACTAAGAAGGAAGAAGAAACATATCAAGACATTAAAATTGGTAAATCAATGAGACATTAAGTAGGGACTTAAAAAAATCAAACAGGGGAGGTATAAGGAAGAAAAGAAGTTAAAAGAAGTCATAGTACTCTGATTGACATTTAGAAAGGAAAAATGAATACACATGCATGGTTAGAAAATTCCAGCAGTGCAGACAGGCAGAAAGTGAAAACACGCCACCCGCTCTCAGCATTTCCCTTCCCCAAAGGGAACCTCTCCAGTGGATTCCTTTTTGTTCACATCTATGTTTGTGCTTTGTCTCTGGATTCTTTTTAAAATTGTACCGGAAAGATCACGGTATAAACACAGTTCAGTCTTATCTTTCTTAGTAACCCAGAGACATTTGGGTAGATTTAAGTCAAAAGACTTGTCTCTCCTGGTGAGTGAGTGTGGCTGTTACTGGGAATGGTTATGTGTCAGTTGGATTGCCTTCACTCTTGCAGGTTGTCCTTTCTGGACTTACCTTGCTATTGAATTTATTCCAACATTAAGTCTCATCGATAGTGATTAGGATGTTTAAAAATGATCATAGTTAATAATGTATATATACAGTTTCAGATGATCATATTTTAAAACGAAGATTATGGTGTTCATAATTTGTGTATAGTATTGAATGCCTCCCATGAGTTGTTTCATTTAAGAATGGTAAGTGGTTTGGGGGCCAGTTGTTATCTATGTTTTATTTCAGAGTTATTTTGAAATCCCCACTTACTAGGATTTTTATTTTTCAGAGTCATATTAAGTCGATAGATTCAGGAGAAACTAACATAGAAGGAGCCATAGGTGAGTAGACACCATAGGGGCATTTTACATCCTTGACTGAGGTACTTTGATATTGTGATTTTGAACATGTAAACAGACACCTGTAATAATCCCCTGTATTTCTAGGACTGATGGCATCGGAAGAATTTATCAAGGTCACGTTGTTGGCTTTTGAAGCAATAATACAGTATCCTGTTTTACTGAAGGACTATTGCTCTACGGTCAGTCCTGGCAGCTTTTAAAAAATAGGCGTTTTCATTTACTTGGGAATTCTGCATATTGTAGAAATCTGAGTATGTGCATGTATCATAATTTATTTACTTTTGATAGACATTAAGTTATACCTAGTTTTTGGCATTTACAAATATTGATGAATATTCTTGTTCATGTGTTTTGCTCTGCATAAGAAGGCACTACTTTTAGGGCATATACTTAGGAATGGGATCAGTGGGTCTAGGATATACATAAACTCAGCTGGTGAACAAAATACTGAAGTGTTCTCCAAAGAGGTGGGGCCAGTTTACATTGACCCGGCAGTGCGGTACCTGACCTCCTCCTCATCCTTCCCAACTCTTGTTACTTCACACCTTGTAATGGGTAGGTATCTAGCAGTATTTCGCCATAGTTTTAAATGTTTGTATGATCAAGACTGCTAATGAGGCTGCATAGTTTTTCAAATGTTTCTTGGCCATTTGGGAGTACTTGTTTATGAAGTGCTTGTTCAAGTCTTTTTTTTTTTAATTTCAGAGAGTGGAAGGGAGAGGCAGAGAGAGAGAGAGAAACATGAATGAGAATCATTGATCGGCCACCTCCTGCACGCTCCCTACTGGGGATTGAGCCCACAACCCAGCCTTGTGCCCTGACCAGGAATCAAACCATGGCCTCCAGGTTCATTGATCAGCGCTCAACCACTGAGCATGCTGGCCTGGCTTTTTAAAATCTTTATTGTTGAAAGTATTACAAATGTCCCTTTTTGCCCCCATTGATCCTTGTCCCCTTTTAAGACTTTTTTGGAGGGGAAGGCCTTTGGTTTTCTGTAGATGCACTATGATTTAGCTAAATGTGAACCTGCTTTTATTTATTCTGCTTAGGATTCTCTGTGCCTCTTAGATCTGGATTGTCCTTTTTCATAATTTCTGGGAAATTCTCAGTTATCATCTCTGCTTATTCTCTCTTTTCTTTGCTCTGTCTTCTTCAGCTACTCAGATCACGTGTACATTAAACTTTCTCACTATATTTTTGATATATTCCATCATTTTTCTCTTTTAGGGTTATTTTCTGGATAATTTTGTTTATATTTTGGCTAATTCTATTTCTCCCATGTCCAGTATGGTACTAAATATAGCCATTGAGTTTTTAATTTTGGTTATTTTTCATGTGTAGAAGTTTTGTTATCATTAGAAATTCTGCTTATCTGTTTTTTTTCAATCTACTATATTTTTTATAGTTTTTTCCCTCTACATATTTCCTAGTCTGTGATTGATTTATTCACATTTGTTGGATGTGGTTGTTTTACACTATTTGTGATGATTCCAATATCAGAAGACTGCGGTGCGCTGTGGTGTCTGTCAGATCTTGCTTGTGTCCACATCACCTTGTGTTCTTGGAGGCCATGGCCTCCCTGAAGCCGTGGGTGGGTGTTCCCTCCTCCAAGAGGCTTCAGGCTTGTCCCGGGCTCTGTCAGTCAGGGCTCCTTAGACGCAGGTCCTTTGCACCCCTTTTGCAAATCCCTGAGACTATGGTCTGAGATCCTAACTTCCTAGGGCAGCCTTCTCAGCCTGGTTTTCCTTATCAGTGGTCAGCAAAACTGCGGCTCGCGAGCCACATGTGGCTCTTTGGCCCCTCGAGTGTGGCTCTTCCACAAAATACCGACTTCTGCGCACGGGCCACGAAGTTTCAATCGCACTGTACATGTGCGCCCACACGTGGTATTTTGTGGAAGAGCCACACTCAAGGGGCCAAAGAGCCGCGTGTGGCTCGCGAGCCGCAGTTTGCCGACCACTGCCTTATCTGAACGTAATCTCCACTCCTCAGTGCCCGGCCCAGGGTAGGAACTCACAGAACTCCGCCTGTGGGAAGACCTGGACTCAGCCCTCCCTCTCTCTCCCCAGCGGGCCCTCCTGGAGCCCTGTGTTTGCACTACTGGGAAGTGCCTCCAGGGCAGGCGATACCTGGTGCTAAGATAATTGGATACAAATGCTCATACTGAGAGTTGAGTTCAGCTGAGCTCTCTGGGTAAAGGTTTCATTCAGAACCTGGTCTGAAAGTTCCCCCATTGTCTCTTCAGATCTTCCGTATTTTTAAGGTTTTGTTCTTTTATATTTTATCTGGCATTTTTAAATTGTGTTCAGTGAGAAAGTTAATCCAAATAATACCCACTATTAGCAGAAACCCTGTTTGTTACGATCACTTTCTGAGTAATGATTTCTCGGTCTTCCATTGAGATAGTGTTTGCTTAAGTGTTTCTTATTGATTGTTTTCTTTAATGAGCAATAACCCAATGGAGAATTTTTGTGATCTAGTAGTTCCAAATACCTGTACTTACATTTAAATAGACATTCAGTAGTTTATTTTCTAATCATGAGATGCTATCATAATAATCCTTGAAGCTACAGCGTGTATTATGATAGGAATGGTGTCTGCAACTCATGGGCTTCATAAAAGAATCTTTAATGCTGTAACTCATGGGAAATCCTCTACCACTTCAGGAGCATGACTGGGATACATGAAATTGACGATTCAGCTTCCCAAGGAGCATAACATTGTTTGAAATGTTACACAAACTATGTTCAAGGCCGCTGATCAATACTTGTTATATGGAAGTGGATGCATGCATTTAATTCTCGCCGAGCACAAGTGCTTAACTCAGATTTTCCCAGAGTTTACACTACTTAGTGCCTCAGAGTTGGAAATCATCAGTGTGGCCTACAGAGCAGTTAGAAATACCATAACGATTTGATTTGTACAGAGAATTTGTTCCATTCATGGGGTTTCCAAAATATGTTATGATAGCAATGGGAAAAATAAAGGTGATTCTTTATTAGAAAATTCTGGTAATAATATACATAAGTGGCCTAAAATATATAATATATTTCAATTCATTTAACTTAAAACAATAAACTAAACCATAATATCCTTTTTTTTTTTTCTCAAAGAACCTGCCATTTTGTAAATTTTTAAGTCTTTGGGGGTGAAATCAAGATGCCAGCATCCCTGTTGCGCACGCAGCCTGGGCATTAGCTCGAGCCTCCGGCCGTTGTGGATGTGACGGACCCAGGGTTTTTACATATTAGGATTGCTTCACCTAAACCAGTACAGAAACAAACCTGATGGAATGAACTGAGATAAATGAGCCTTTAGTGTGAGATTTTATGTGTATCTGGCTGGCTCTCCTCAGCCAGGCTGTGTTTACTGTTTGCTGCAGCTGTTAGTTTCAGAGGCTAATATCCCCTCTAAGGTCCTTGTTCTTGTCTCTACTCCTGGCTTTGGGTCTCCGTAAGAATTCCTTCCTAAATAAAGCCGGTGCCTGAGCTCTGTCAGTGACCATCCTGTGTTATTGTACAGGAGGGGCCGTGCTGTGGTTGGCAAGGTGTGGTGGGCTTTGCTTGTGCGGGGCATCATTCCATTGGTTTGGGCAGCCAGGTGGTGGTGTTGGGCTGTGAATTGTTTCTCCTGTTTTTTATCAGCGTAGGCAGGAATTTTGTGTATTGTTGCCAAAACGGTTCATCAAATGAGATAGTAGGTTTCAAAATTAGACCATGGGAGTGATTTGTCCTTTCTTCATTGTCCATTTTTATTTGGGGGGGGAGGGGAGGAGAAAGCTTATTTTGGAGATTTCAAACCATATTTGATTGTGCTCTGTCTGATATTACTAGGAAATTGTAGAGTTGTTTTGTATAGTGGATATACATCTTCTGTATCTATTTATAAAAATAACCAGGATTAACTTGTCATAGCTCTTTGATGTATTTGACAAAACATGAGGATTACACATCTCTTTCCCCGCCTTCATCATTTTGATCGTTGTTTATCTTCAACTTGAGAAATGATCACCAGCTTATATATTAATTTGTTAATTTGATGGTTTAATGTCAACCCATGCCAATCAGATTTTGCATTAAATACTAGTTCTTTTCATGAACCCTGAAGGTTTTGATGATTGTAATGTCATTTTGACCTGAGGACTTTTTCAGTTACATGAGCTTGGTGGTTTATTAAATGTCATGCAGACTTTAGATCCAGGATAAATTTAGCTGTTGCCTTTTTTCCACACCTTTGATTAGTGATTCTGTCAGTGGACAAAAAAACATAGATAGTGGTTGTTATCAAGTCCGTGTGTATGGAGATCTGAACCGAGTCTTTAATACCTTTTCTCGTAGGTTGTTGATTATATCCTGCCACCCTTGGTCTCCTTGGTTCAAAGCCAAAATGGTAAGTGACCACATCTCCCAGAATTCCATTGGTTACACATTCGGTTCCATTCCATCTCCATGGAGTCATGCTCTTGGTGTTCTTTCTTTTCAAGTGGAGTGGAGGCTCTTCAGCTTGCGGTTGCTCTCAGAAACCACATCTCTGCTGGTGAACCAGGAGGGCGGGGATGGCAAGGAGGCTGCGCCCATCGACTCCGACAGCAACCTTCTGGCTCTCATTAGAGATGTCCTCCTTCCCCAGTAAGTACCGTGCTCTGCACTCACCCAGAGCGGTGTGGGTCGCCCAGGATGCTGCGGCCAGACGAGGGGCACTGCTGGCCTTGGGGTCTCCCTGTCCTTACATTCCTGTCCAAGTGCTAATGTGCTCACCGTGAGGCAGTTAGGACCAGAGGCAGTAACTGTTACACTGCCTGGGACCCAGGAGAATCTCTGTCCATGTTGAAAAATACCATTTAGAGGTTCTTCTGTTTTCTACAGACTCTGAGGTTATGCAGAGTTAAAGGTGTCTATGGCTGGGGGGAGGGGGGGTGAAGTTTATTCTTCAAGGTCAACATGATAAGACTGCTGGAAGATGAAATTGGGACTTTCTCGGGCCCTGCTCAGAAATGATAGAGATGGAAATCTTCCTTCCCCCCACAGATAGGGGGTGGGGGAACAAGTAGTAATGATCAGAAAGAGGTTATCTTTTTCCTTTTTACTCCATCACTCACATAGCAAGCACACAGTAGGATGATTACAGAGCCCTAACCTCACGTCGTTTTGTGCAGTAGCGTTCTATACCGGCTGGGAGCCCGGGAGCAGCAGGCTGTCCCTATGGCTGAGGTGTGTGGCAGGCTACACCACCTAGGTTTGTGTAGGTGCACTCCGATTAGAGGTTCTTCTGTTTTCTACAGACTCTGAGGTTATGCAGAGTTAAAGGTGTCTATGGCTGGGGGTGAGGGGGTGAAGTTTATTCTTCAAGGTCGACATGATAAGACTGCTGGAAGATGAAATTGGGACTTTTCCAGGCCCTGCTCAGAAATGATAGAGATGGAAATCTTCCCCCCAAACTCTTGTAATGGAAATTAAGTTTAGATAAAGATAGGGGGTGGGGGAACAAGTAGTAATTATCAGAAAGAGGTTATCTTTTTCCTTTTTACTCCATTACTCACATAGCAAGCACATAGTAGGATGATTACAGAGCCCTAACCTCACGTCGTTTTGTGCAGTAGCGTCTATACAGGCTGGGAGCCCGGGAGCAGCAGGCTGTCCCTGTGGCTGAGGTGTGTGGCAGGCTACACCACCTAGGTTTGTGTAGGTGCACTCCGATGTGCGCTCAGTGGCGAAATCACCTAACGCATTTTTCAGAGTGTATCCCCGCCATTGAGGGGCACATGGCTGTGTATGACAGTGTGTGAATGGCATGTACTTATGTGGGTAAATATAAGCTTAGAGCCTTGTGTCATGGGGTTAATTTTGATGCCATCTTAACACTTACAAACTGGTTATACATAATCATAAGCATCTTCCTGACTAATGCCTAATAATGTGACTTTTGTGCCAACTGTGATTTTTAAAAGATATAAAGGATAGCTGCTATCTGACAGCCTAAAGGGGGATTCACATCTTGGGCAGGACGGTGCAAGAATTTGTTATGCTACTCAGAAGGGCACACAAATTAACACTTAAGTATTGCTTCCGGAATTTTTCACTTAATATTTTCAGCTGCAGATGATCACAGATGCTAGAACCGTAGAAAGCGAAACTGGGGTTAAGGGGGGGCTACTGTAGATATCCTGTCAGTACTTTCAATTTTGTTAACATTTTGATCCTTTTTTGACCTTAACACTTTGGATAAAGCCAAGGCGACAGGCTTTTCCTGGCCCCTCAGTTTTTTTACAGGAGAGTGTTGTATTAGTATTTTGTTTGCAAGTACTAACCCTGGACTCTAACTTGGAAAATAATTATTTACTCACTAAGAAGTCCAGGACTTGCACTGGCATCAAGTAAAACTGGATTTGGGGGGTTTGAGTTCATTTCTACAGAACCAGGTGTGTGTGTGTGTGTGTGTGTGTGTGTCTCCGTGTGTGTGTGTGTGTCTCCGTCTCCATCGCTCCGGCTGCCCACTCCTGCGTGGCTTTGCTCTCAGAGAGGTTCTTCCTTGTTGGGAAACGGCTCCTGGGCGCTGAGCCCAGGGAAAGAGCGGGTGTCTTTTCTATTAGCTCGGGCAAAATTCTAAGGAAGGATAACAATTTAATCTTGTTAAAGACCATGTAATACCTGTGTTCAAGGTGCTTATCAGAACTGTTGTGTGATGTGAATGAAAACTCAGTGGTAAGAATAAATACCTTATTAAGCGAAATATTAGATATGGTTCTCAGAGAAACAGAACAAATAGGATGCATGTACATATATGGAGGGAGAGGGAGATTTACTGTATGGAATTGGCTCACTTGCTTATGAAGGCTGACAAGTCCCAGTCTGAGGCCTAAGGCCCGAGACCCAGAAAAGCCTTTGGTGAAGTCCCAGTCTGAAGGGTGGCAGGCTGGACACCCAAGAAGAGCTGATGTTTCAAGTCCAAAGGCAGCAAAAGACCAGGGTCCCAACTGGAGGCAGTGGGAGCAGCAGGAGTTCCCTCGTCCTCAGCCTTTTTGCTCTGTTTAGGTCTTCACTTTAATTGGTGAGGACCGTCCGCGTTAGGGAGAGCCACTGCTTTACGGGTCTGCTGACTCACACACTGATCTCCCCAGAAACAACCCGGGGACACACCCAGAATGACGTCTGACCCACCGTCTGGGTATCCTGCGACCGGGTCAGGTTGACATCGCCATACCTGTCATAAATACCATGAATGACTCTATAAACTGAATTAATATCCAAGACCCATCACCTCTTATCAGTGTGCATGCTTTGCTTTCTAAAGAGATGGACTTCATTTACAAGTATTTGTGCATTTTGTACGTAGAGGATTATATTTTACAGGAGAGTGTTGTATTAGTATTTTGTTTGCAAGTACTAACCCTGGACTCTAACTTGGAAAATAATTATTTACTCACTAAGAAGTCCAGGACTTGCACTGGCATCAAGTAAAACTGGATTTGGGGGGTTTGAGTTCATTTCTACAGAACCAGGTGTGTGTGTGTGTGTGTGTGTGTGTGTCTCCGTCTCCATCGCTCCGGCTGCCCACTCCTGCGTGGCTTTGCTCTCAGAGAGGTTCTTCCTTGTTGGGAAACGGCTCCTGGGCGCTGAGCCCAGGGAAAGAGCGGGTGTCTTTTCTATTAGCTCGGGCAAAATTCTAAGGAAGGATAACAATTTAATCTTGTTAAAGACCATGTAATACCTGTGTTCAAGGTGCTTATCAGAACTGTTGTGTGATGTGAATGAAAACTCAGTGGTAAGAATAAATACCTTATTAAGCGAAATATTAGATATGGTTCTCAGAGAAACAGAACAAATAGGATGCATGTACATATATGGAGGGAGAGGGAGATTTACTGTATGGAATTGGCTCACTTGCTTATGAAGGCTGACAAGTCCCAGTCTGAGGCCTAAGGCCCGAGACCCAGAAAAGCCTTTGGTGAAGTCCCAGTCTGAAGGCTGGCAGGCTGGACACCCAAGAAGAGCTGACGTTTCAAGTCCAAAGGCAGCAAAAGACCAGGGTCCCAACTGGAGGCAGTGGGAGCAGCAGGAGTTCCCTCGTCCCCAGCCTTTTTGCTCTGTTTAGGTCTTCACTTTAACTGGTGAGGACCGTCCACGTTAGGGAGAGCCACTGCTTTACTGGTCTGCTGACTCATACACTGATCTCCCCAGAAACACCCCGGGGACACACCCACAATGACGTCTGACCCACCGTCTGGGTATCCGGCGACCCGGTCAGGTTGACATCCCCATACCGATCATAAATACCATGAATGACACTTAAACTGTGAATTAATATCTAAGACCCATCACCTCTTCTCAGTGTGCATGCTTTGCTTTCTAAAAAGATGGACTTCAGTTACAAGTATTTGTGCATTTTGTACGTAGAGGATTATACTGCTGTTGATAGGGAGATGGTATTTGAGTTATGAAACCTGGGTATGATTGGGTAGAAAGCGAGTGGGCACCCCAGGAAAGAATGGGGGAGGCCAGGGTGTGGAAGAGGCAGAGGAGTTGGCAACAAGCTGACCAGCTTCTTTCCAGCAGAGTCTGCACGTGAGAGTTACGTGATCCGAGCTTGGGAGAGAATGTTTTCTCTCTTCACCCGCCCATTTGATATTCATGGACACTAATTGAATGTGTCTTATGTCATTGGCATATTTCTCGTTGCTGGAATATAATAGTGACCAAGAGAGGCTCAGCCATTGCCTTTATGGAATGTACTGTCGGGAAGAGCCAAGTATTTCAGACATTAATAATAATTTTTTTACCGAAGACATTTGTAAGTCATGCAAATAAAAATGTTACTTAAATATAAATTGAATAAGTATCGAGGCCGCCTTTACTCACCGTGGGCTTCCTCGATGTTCATCCGCCTGCCTGGGGACATGTTTCTTCTGGGACGTTTTCTGTGCTTCCTGTTCCCTGGCTTGTGCGTTTCTCAGTTCACACATTTAACTTTCTACAGCTCAGCGTTTCTAAAAATTAGATGACCTTCGGACACTCTTTCCCGGGGGCTATTAACAGCTCCCGGAACTCTGGGGTTCCTTTGATCACAATTTTGAAATGCTACTCAAGGGCATTTCCAAGGAAAGGATGCTCACCATCAAGATTTTAACTTTGGCTTGTCAGTATTCGCTAACGTTAACACGCTTCGTGGCTCACATCAACATCCGTTTGTTAAGTCACGCTCCTTAGGTCAGAGGCCCACAGATCCCGTGGGACGTGGTTCTCTGCTACGGAGCTCATGCTGCCTGAAGCAGGTGCCTGTCCACTAGGACGAGTCCTGGTCTGAAGCCTGGGAGAAAGCTGCTTCCCCGCTCATCCAGGTTGGTGGCAGGATGGTTCCCCACAGTTTGTATTCGTTTCTTAGGGCTGCAGTAACAAAGGACCCCGCCGGACTGGCTTAAAACAACAGAAATGTACTCTTTCCCAGCTCAGGAGGCCAGAAGGCTGACATCAACCTGTCAGCAGAGTTGGTTACTTCTGGAGAGTCTGACCTTGAATCCACGCCTCTCTCCTGGCTTCTGGTGCTGCCCGCCATCCTTGGTTTATGGCAGCGTGACCCCAGTCGCTGCCTCAGTCCTCACTTGACCTTCTCCTCTGTGTGTCTGTCTCAGATT